GGTTTGTCTTTTTTTTATTTTTTTTTTTTTTTTTTTTTGAAAAGCCAACTTTGGTTTCATTGATCTTTTGTTTTTTGTTTTTGTTTTTTGTTGTTTTTTTTTAACTTCTATTTTGTTTATTTCATCACTTCCTTCTACTGGTTTGTGAATTTTTGTTGTTCTTTTTCCAGTTCTTTGAGTTCTTGTTTCTTGGTATGTGCCTGTATTGGTATATGTATTCCTCTAATAACTGTACCCAAATTTTCCAAAGAACACTATGGGCATGAAGAAAATGGAGTGATATATTTAACAAACTCCAAATCAACAAATGCCAACTAAGAATACCCTATCAAAGCTCTCCTTTCTATATAAGGAAAAATAAAAACCTTCTGAGACAAAATCTCCAGAAATTCATTACTACTATACCCACACTCTAAAAAATTATTACAAGAAGCCCTAAAGCCAAAACCAACAGAGGAATGACAGAAGAAGGTAAGGAATAGAATCACAAGATGGCATATATGGTGCCTTGTATCAATACAAGTGCTGGTTTATCAGTATTAACTCTAAATGTAAATGGATTAAACTCATCAATAAAAAGAAACAGAGTAGCAGGCTGGGTTAAAAAACAGAACCCAACCTTCTGTTGTCTATGGGAAACACAATTTAACTACAAAGATAACATAGATTGAAGGTGAAAGGATGGAAAACAATCCTACAAGCAAATGGACTAGAAAAAAATGCAGAAACAGCTATACTTAAATAAAGTAGACTTCAAACTTAAAAATGGAAAAAGTGTTTCTAGATTGTTGAACTGATCCATATAACTGTTCTTCATAATCCTTGATTATTCTTTTGAGTTCTGCTGTATCTGTTGTAATTTCTCCTATTTTGTTTATGATCCTGTTATTTTGTGCTTTCTCCCATTTTGGCTTTGTGAGCCTGGCTAGAGGTTTGTGAGAAACATAAACAGTCACTACATTATGATGAATAGGACAGTGCATCAAAAGATAAAACATCAACATATACTCTCATCAAGTGAAAGAGAACCAAATATATCAGAAATTTATTATTATCTCTGAAAACAGACATTAGAGAAAATGAAAATGTAGTAGGAGACTTCAACACACCACTCATAATGGACAGATCAGCAAGACAAAAAATAAGCAAGGACACTAGAGCGAATTCTAAATAAGGACCTAGGCCTTGTGGGCTTAACAGACATCTATAGGACACTGCACCCTAAAAATCTGAGTGCACATTTTTCTCATGTTCACATGGATTATTCTCCAGGATCAGTCAGATACTGAGACACAAGACAAACATCAACAGATACAGTAAGATCAGAATCATACCAGCTATCTTCTTTGACCACAAGGCATGCAAGAATGAAACCATGAAAAGAAAAAAAAGCAAGAAATCCTCCTCCCTCATGGAGATTGAAACCACACTACTATAAGACCATTGTATCAGTGAGTTCAAAGAAGAAATTAAATACCTGAGATGAATGACAGTAGGACTCAACTGTCCAGAACATATGGGACATAGTAAAGGTTCACTGCGTTGACCCTTAGTATTATCATACATAACTTTCCCATGTCACTTTTTACTTTCTATGTGTAGTTTCTCCATTTTTATAAGTTTCTATGAAACAGATCACCTGGCTTTTAATTTTATCCTTCCTTTTCTTTTTTACAGTAAAAATAGGCATAGTTGAGAAAATATATCACAACTCTATAATTTGCAAATTGTTTCAGAGAATAGAGAAATTTGTGTCTACCATTTACCCCAATTTTAGGATGACAAAAAAATATTTTCCATCTACTTTATTCCCTCTTCTGTTCCCTTGTTTTTTTCCTTTGGTAAATTTCTTCTTGACGCTGAGGTCTTCCTGTTACATTTCACAAAATAATGTTATATGAGCCAGAGTCTCTTCCATGCTGTTATGTTCATTTCTCTCTTTATTTATAGCCTAAGTCTCTGATATGTTCAGATATAAAAAAAAAAAATCAGTTGGAACTTTTTTTTCTGATATGGACAAATATGAAGTAAATACCTGTAAAAAGTATATTTTATGAGATTTCATTTCTGTGTTTCACATTTACTCTGCTTTTAAATCACTTCAGGAAAATAACACATCATGGCCATTACCTGTGAAAATTTTCTGCAGAGATGAAAAAGGAGAGCGTGTTGATGTTTCCAAATATTTGATTAAAAAGGGTTTGGCTTTGAGAGAAAAGAGGTATATACTTTTTTTTTTAATTACTAGTTTGTGAATTGTAAATTACCAAATGTGTTTGTGTAAAATAGAATGGGTAGCAGAGAACATAACTGAACAATTTTTATATTTAAAAATCTTTTCAGGTACTAAGTTTAACATTTATGTAGCATTGTTCCAAGGAGAGAAAGATCAGATTATTGCTCTACCTCCGCTTCATCTTTTTATCTCTTTCCTTCAAGAAGTGAAAATATATTGGAATTGCAAACATTTGTCCCAAGTAGCTACTTTGTACTACCATATATGGCTATATCTCTTTTTATCTTACATTGTTTTATCTTACCCTGGCCCTAATGAAATAAAAAGACAGTGGGAAATCAAAATAAATGTGGCATGAGTTATTTGGCTCAGTGTGGTAGTTACTGCCTTAATTGTCTGGACATTGTCATAAAGCTAGATTACCTCTTTGTTCTGTGGTGTGTCTGTTCAGTTTCACTGGTTTTAAGTTAAAACAATTCCTTGATAATAGAAATGTTAAAAAGTGCTTAAACAAGTTAATACTCCTGACATCTATTTCTAAAGGTGATGTTCTTTACTCTTTCTATAGTATTAAAACTACTAGCTATGTCAGTGCTGGGTAAAATGAGAGAACTGTGTTAGTTGAGGAATTATGTAGTTATTTTACCTAAGCATTGATACATAATTACATATGGAAAGTAGGAAAAATGGCAATCTGTAATATTTCTACTACTATAAGCAATGTTGATATTTCCTTCTAGGATTTTTAGCCTATTACTATTAACATTTAATAATAATATCATATTGTATTATTTTATGAATTTTGGTAGCTTGCAAAATACGTGCCTCTCTGTGAACAGAACTGAAAATGACTTGAAGTTAATGTATTTCTTACTAAAATCTTGCAAATTGTGTAATACTTGGTTTATACATGTTACAAGATTTCTAAGAGAGAATAGCGTATAAATATGGGATGTTGAAAGTGGTTAAGTGAAATTACATTGATTTTTTTCTCATCAAGCTCATTCCTAATTTAAAATAATTTTAAAGCAAACTTTTTTAAAACCTTATATATATTTGAAGATTCTCTTTGTATTGTTTTTCTAGAACATTTTTTTTTACTCATGCTTAGACATTTTTTTTTTTTTTGATGTTACAGAATTAATAAATTAGAAAATAGCCATGCCTTATTTGAAAAGTCTCTGGAAATCCCCCTGGAACAAGAAAACTCAATGATTTCTAAGTGTATTAAAATTAAATTTGACCCTGACAAAACTGCTGATAATATCAGTGAGCACATGGTATCTGAAATTAAGGGGAAAAATGTAGAAGCAAGAATTACTGGAAGTTATAAACCACCAGCCATTCCTAACATGAAAGTATTTGAGGCAATAATCAGCTGCATTGGTGATGATGGAACTATATTTGCAGTACCTAAATTTGCAGGTAAGATCTTTTACCTTATCTTGTGTTAGTCAGTAAAAGTAGGTAAATATTGGACTTCTTTCAACCTCATTATCAATGAGTTGTTGAAAGGGTTAAGTGTCATAACACACAACTGCTTTCCACAATGCCCAGCACTAGAAATCACCATTGAGATACCTAACTACCCCTAGAACTGGGGGTAGTTCCAGGTTTGTAAGACCTGGTCCTTAACAAGCTTGGAGGCCAAGAAGAAAAAACAAAATGCCAAGTTTGTATTTGTTTAGAATGAAAAATAAGTCATGACAAATGACTAGCTTCAGGACACTTTGAGAATATTCTGATCTATTCTGAGATCTCTTTAGACTTATGTGTAAATGCTTCCTTACTACAGAGTATGTGCAGAATATACTGTAATTCACATTAACTCTAGTGCTCACAGATATAAAATTCATAGAAAGTCTCCCTATGAATGAGGGTATGGTATGTATGAATTTGTCAAAATTTTTGTCTCAACTGTTGATCTCTGTCTTTTTAATTAAAAAAAAACAGAATAAATCTGTGCCATTGGCTATTCTAGAAGAAGTAAACAGTGTTCGAAACCTGTAATAATAATACTTAATCCAGAACCTTTGTTTGACATGTGTAAATAGTCATTACTGAAACTGTTGGATGCCGATGCCCAATAGTATTCTAGATGTTTTACATCTAATCTCCCACAATATTGATAATGGCAGCTGTTTTTTCCAGTCTATACGAGAATAAACTGAAACTTAAGAAGGGAATGGAACTATGCATGATTACATAGCTAAAATGGTAGAACTATTATGGGAAATAACTCAAAGTTTACACTCTGTAAGAACACTTATGGGTAAATTAGCAGTAAATAGCAACATTACAATTTTAAGTTTTTAACCCCAGTTTATGCTGTATTATTGCATCATATAACTTTTTCTCTTATTTTACATAGGTATGCTATAAAGCTACATCTTGCAATAGTAGTTCATAAATAACATTATGTGAGTTGCGTTTAGAACTTTTAATGATTCTTGCACTCCCAAAATACTACTTGCATTTATAACCAGAGAACAGAATAGTCATTTGCTTGATAGTCAGAAGTATATTGAAACATATGGAAGCCACTAACTGAATGAGAATTTTATTAAAGTCTATTTATTAAATGAGAACTAATTTTTAATTGCTTATATATAAGTGATGAAATGATTAATAAGATTGCTGATGGCTTCATATTGAAAATGGTAGGGGATTTTTCCTAAAATGCTTTGTACTTTTAATAATTTCTCCAGAGTTAGAGCTAATAAAAATGATGAATGAAATACAAAGTAGCTTAAAATGCCTTGGTCTTTTGGAGCCTTATTCCTGGAAAAAAGGAGAGGCCTGTGCTATAAGAGGATCAGATACAATGTGGTATCGAGGCAAGGTGATGGAAGTTGTTGGCGGCACTATCAGGGTAAGTCTGAAGTCCTTTAATGACTGTTTTAAGACTAAATACTATAACACTAATTGTCCTGTAAAATATAAATGCATGAAAGTTTGAATAAGACACCTTTTTTTAAGTTTAAACATTTTCATATTCTTCATTTTCATACAAATGTATGCTTTATCATCTCATATATGGTCCCTAGGAAATTCCCACCACCAATTCACCCATGTACCATCACTGTAGTCCTTTCTGCTCTCCCACTCCTGTAAAACATCATTTAATCTTAATCCTATAGGAAGACCAGTCACTGCATTATACCTACATGTATGTGCATCTTTTTTTTTAATAATATATTTATTTTTACATCATTTATTTGTACACCTTTTTCCATCTCAGTTGTAATTCCCATGGGCTTCCCATCACCAAATCACCTGTGTGCTGTCACCATAGTCCAGTGTACTCCCCCCAGTGTTTTCTATCCCATTCCCCACTCCATCCCCATAAAATGTCTCTGGTATATAGTTATTCATTATTATTGTTTTTCCCCCTGGTCCTTTATGCTCCTAATATGAGTGAAACCAGCTGGTATTTTTCTTTTTCTTTCTGGCTTATTTCACTAAGCATGATCTTCTCCAGCGCCATCCATGTTACTGCAAAAGGCAAGAGTTTATCTTTTTTGGTTGCTGAGTAATACTCCATTGTGTATATGTACCACAACTTTTTAATCCAGTCATCTACTTTTGGACATTTGGGTCGATTCCATGTCTTTCCTATTGTAAATAAAGCAGCAGTAAACATGGGGGTACAGGGGTGTTTTTGAGTCAGTGTTTTTGTGTCTTCTGGGCATATACCTAGGAGTGGGATTGCTGGGTCATATGGAAGCTCCATTTTTAGCAGTTTAAAAACCCTTCACACAGCTTTTCATGGTGGTTGTACTAGCTTGCATTCCCACCAGCAGTGCAGGAGAGTCCCTTTTTCTCACATCCTCACCAACATTTGTTGTTGCTAGTTGTTTGAAGATGTGCCATTCTCACTGGGGTGTGGTCATATCTCATTGTGGTTTTAATTTGCATCTCCCTTATCACAAGTGATGTTGAATATTTTTTCATGTGCTTGTTGGCCATATGCATTTCCTCTTTGAGAAATGTCTTTTTAGCTCTTCTGCCCATTTTTTGATGGGGTTATTTATTTTTGTTGGATTTCATCAGTTCTTTGTATATCTTTGTGATTCAATCCTTTATCACTAGTGTTGTATGAGAAAATTTTTTCCCTGTCAGTGGGATGTCTGTTTTTTGTAATGTCTCTTTTGCTGTACAGAAGCTCTTTAATTTGATGTAGTCCCATCTGTTTATCATTTCCTTCAGCATTATAGTTTTTATAAAATTTTTAAGGTTTTATTTTAAGCTATACTTAGTAGCCTAGTTATTTGTCCACTGGTACTTTAATAGTACCACTTAGTTGCAGTTGACAGCCTTTAACTCTGTCTCTTTATTTAATACAATGTATTCAATAAAAACAGCTTGTTAGCTGGCATGTTAAATATCTCTAACAAATTGTTTACAGCCCTAATTTACCCTTGTTGGATAGGGTTAATCATATTTCAGAATACTGAGAGTTTCATGAAAAATCTTCACAAAGAACTGCTCACAATGAAAAGTATATAAATGAATATACCTCTATAGTATATTTATTAGGTGAAGTAATGAAACTGATAGTGTACTTCATTCACAATTTGGAGATTTTAGTTTCAAGAGGGAAGTAAAAATTAAGAAGTCTTTTGTTTCTACTTACAGAGTAGTATATTATTTGATAGCATAGCACTTAAGTTTTATAGCTTATACATATATTTATTTGCATTTTGTAATTTGTTTTTGATTATAGATAAGAGATTGTAATTCTCTTTTACTAATAAGAAAGTTGAATTTTAGGCTTAGTAATGTGCCCAAAAGTACCTTATGAGTGGATGATGATGCAGGAATTCAATTCAAGTATCTGATCCCTAAATTTCTGACCAATTTTATATTTGTATTACAAGCCATTTTATAAATGGCTTTATAAAAGCAAAATGGTTTTAAATTTGTGGTACTAAGGTAGATACTTAGGTGCATGAGTCTATTTTCACATACATTTGACTTGTTTAGTTAAGTACTTTAATACAAAAGCAAACTGAAATTTATATATGGAATCCAAATCAATAGTGGTGACATTTATTTTTTCTCAAATATCTTTTTTTTTTTAAGAAGCTTCCTTAAAAATACTATTATATTTTACTCATCACTTTTTGTTTTTCCCATGTGGTCATTTTATACCTCAAGTATACATAATAATATTTCATGCCCTAACCAGATATCCTTTAAATTCTGTCCTTTTGTCAGAAATAAGCAATTATATGAAACTGTAGTAATCCTCACAACCTATAATGTGCTCAGATATTTTTTATTTAATTCTATTTTTTTTTCATTATTGGTTACCATTCCACTTAAACAATATGTTAGTTGTATTAATTAAACTATAGCAAAAAGTAGACTTTTTTTATTCTTACTACAATTTAGAAATTGAATTGTCAAAATTAAAACATTCGAAAAATGGTTTGTTGAGGACTCCTGGTTACCATTTTCACATGTAAGCAGGTTGAAGTCACAAATTCATCCTAGCAAATAAAACTGAACAGCCTGAACATCAACTCTCTCATATTCATGTGAGAGGGAAAGAAGGGGCAAGCCACTACCCCAAAGATTTGAGAGGCAGATAGCCAAATTCAACAATTCATACCTTAGTGGGAATAGAGACTGATGACTAAAACTGCAACGCAAGAATTGCATACTTGATGTGTAAAACTCTAATAATTAAAACTCCAGGGGCATCCAAGCATAGGGAGGTGCTCCACCACCCCATCCCCACCCTGACCTCCCAGTTCTGTGAGATTTACCTTTAGGAGATTAACCTGATTCTTACAGTAAATACCAGGGAAAAAATCTTCTTATGCATCCAGCAGTAAGGGGAAAACAATTTCAAATGTATGTATGCCAGGGAATTTTTTTCTTCTTAGTAAGACCTGCTCTCAGTGTAATACTGGTTAATCAAAGCCTAACCAGTGAGAATATTATCAGAATTTAATTAATCTGAATGAGAGGAAATTACCCAATTCCAACTAACTATAACATTCCACAGAAGAGAAAGGAAATGCCCAAATCTAGTTCATTCAGTTCACAGATTCCCACCCTAAGAGAGTGACCAAAACATGAGAAACATTTGTGCAATTCACAGTCCAGAGATGTAAGATTCACTGAAGAAACAGAGACCTAATCATGGGACCATAGAAATCTTGCCCCCATACCTATTTATTACAGTTCCTTGCGCACAGTACATCATACTGAGCTATCAAGAAAAAATTGCAAGGCATACTAAAATAACACACTTGAGGAAAGAGAACCAGATATGACAGAGATGTTGAATTATCAGAACAGGAATTCAAATAATTACTAATAATTATTAATATGCTAAGGACTTTAACATATACAATAGACAACATACAAAAATAGATAGGCAAAGTAAGCAGAGAAATAGAAATGCTAAGAAAGAACCAAAATTTTGAGATCAAAACAGAAATAAGGAATGCTTTTGATGGACTTATTAGTTGAGTGAACACAGCCAAGGAAAGAATCTCTAAGCTAGAAGTTATAGCAATAGAAGCCTTTATAACTGAAAAGCAAGGAGAACAGAACTGAACATATAAGGTCCATGGAAAAATTATAATTATAACATGGATAATAGAAATACCAGAGGAAAAGAAAGAAGGGATCAGAAGAAATATTTGAAATAATTACTCATTTCTTCCAAATTAATGTCAAATGCTAAACCACCAATTTAGATAGCTCAGAGTATACCAAGTAGAATCAATATAAAAGCAAACAGGAAGGAATAAAAACTATAGGCATACAATTTCAAACTATAATAAAAGAAAGTTTCAAAATTAATGAAGCCAGAGATAGCTACAGGGAAACATGGATAAGAATTATATATAACCTCTCAAAAATAGAGAGTCATAGATTGAAATACTTAATGTCTTGAAGGGAAAAACAGCACCAACCAAGAATTCTGTGCTCTCTGAAATTATCCCTCAAAGCAAGGTGATTTCAAAGAAACAGGAGACTTTCTCAGAAATTAAAAGAACATTCATCATTTATGCAAAATTTCTATAAGAAATTTTACTGAAAGAAAATTCAAGAAGTAAGTAAAGATAAAATATTTATTTTTCTTGTGCTTAATTGACATAACATACTAGTTTGTTCAAAGTAATAATAGTGTTACAGTGCAAATTCAGAGAATAGGAGATGACCTAGTTTGTGACTCCCCACCCATGCACCTAAAAGTACCCAAAATACACAAAGAAAAATAAAAACAGATTTAAAAGGATGTGTTTTTTATACATGGACTGAGGAAAGGGAGAGCTAATATGAGGAAAATAAAATTTATTTGGTCAATACATGAGCAAATATGGCATAGCCTACCCACAGTATCTGCAGAGCAGAGACCAGTGTATGCAATCAGAAACAAGTGAAAAGAGAACTACCCACCTGTGCTCCATCTTTCTGAAGTCCAGTTGGTGGGTCCATCTTTTATAATTAATTTGTCTCTGAATGTCACCCATTGAATGAAAGATGGTTCTTCATTGTTCTCCTTACACTGTCCCCACAATATTCTATTAAATCCTAGGAAAACTCAATCTGAAATTCCATCAATTAGCATAGGTCTTAAAATATTGTGGAAGTCTGTATCCTGTTAATTTCTCCAGAAATAATAATACACATAGATGTTAACACTTGTCAAATAACCAAACTTAAAGATCTGATTAAAAACTTAATTGACAAGAAAGTTCTTTCAACACTATAACTTACAACATTCTAGAACAACTACTACCAGTCGCCACTACTAGAATAAGACACTGAAGAAGTTGCACATAATTTTTTTTAAAACATCAACATTAACAGTTGTGTATACTAAGGGTAAACATTGCTCTCAAGTGA